TTTCGGCTGCATCCTCGCCGCCTGACCTCGCTGTCCAGCCTTCCTCTCGTGTCCCGCACCTCTTCCCACCCCTCACACCCTTTCCTGTCCCTCCCCATCCCCTCTGTTGCACCTGTTTGCCCTTGGGACCCGCCGAGCTGTCAAACCCATCCTCTGGGCCCTTTTGGAGCCCCAGACCCACCCATGGGCCCCGGGGAATTTCACTAGGCTCACTCAGACGCCCACTGCCTCTTTAACCTTGTACTTTACAATGGGCTGCTGGGCGTCCCCTCGGGATGGGGGAGGGAGGCGTTGCTCAGAGAGCTGCATGGAAAATGCTTTGGCTTGTGTTTTGTTTTGATTTTTTTTCTTGTCATCTTTGAAATAAGTTGGTTTTGAGAAGGATGATGTTTTTTCTGTTTGTAGAACTTATACACAACACAGCGTTTCTTCTTTGAATGCAGGTGATTCACCAAATGTCCAAAAAAGCCCTGAAGAGGGGCCTGAGAAGAAAAAAGAAAAAAAATCTGAAGCCTTGAACATCCGAGGTAGAGTATGGGAGTATACTGATAATATTATATTAACTTTAAACACTTTCTGGTTTCCATTTCAGATTTTTTTGTTTTGTTTTCAAATATCAGTGAGAAAGCAAAAGCAAAAGGCCAGGTCTCTTCTATGTGTACGGACCCAGTTATTTTTAACAGAACGATTTTAGTTGTATGAAATAGCATAGATAACAACAAAATAGTGTGATGCTGAGTTGGCTCCAAGTGTGCTCACATTTTGATTTTAATTCTTTAGAATAGTGCAGCTGAACTTTTTGGAAAGGTGGCAAAGCCTCTTTCACTAAGCTCAAGATGCTGGGGGTGTTATAGGAAGGTAAAGCAGGTGGCTATGAGGCGCTACTTTGAGCATCACTGTTGTAGTAGTTGAGCAGTTTGCAACTTTTAAATTATTTTGGGCAGAAGACAAACTTCCTTTAAGTTCCAAGGTTGACAATGTTTTGTAGTCAGCATGAGGAAAAACGTGCTGAAACTGGTGCTTTAGCACAGTGTTTTTCCAGGTCCTTGAACTGTGAACCTGTCCTTGAGAGAGCCTGTGACAGGCTCAGCCCTTTTTATGTCGTAATTTGGCAGATCTCTGGGTATTTGCAGAGTGAAACTGTATAGCTGCTTCTAGGAATAAATTAACCAAGTGTCTATCTCCCTCTCTGTATAGGTGTTTGTATGCATACACGTTTACATACCTATTCTGAGCAGAGCCAGAAGCAGGTATCTTTGAGTACATTAAACTTTGAGTTTGTCCCCAAGCAAAAGGGCTGTCAGAAAGGTGGAACAGAGTGGTAGTTTCAGGCTTCTTATGGTTACCTGTCAGCATCTGATGTTCCTCCAAAGTTGTGTAAGTTGGCATCACACAAATTCAGCTTAAGAGGACGACATGACAGTCAGGCACCTAGGTGGTTTTTTTTGTGTGTCTGTATGTCTACCTGTCTTCTGAAAGTGTTTTTGAAAGTTATACAAATGTGTCTGTAAGGGAAGACATTCTGGAAATCAAACTACGTGCTAGAGCAACAACACTTCCCTGAATGTCTAGAAATTGGTGTCACAGTATATTATGGCATTACAGTGGTAAGATTATTAGAGCAGGAAAAGCAAACTGTCACTTTGAGGGATAGAGGAGAGAAGGGTAGAAAACCAATGAGGATATTTTAGAGAAGGCCTTAGTTGCTTGAATGACAGTGCTTGAAACTTTCAGAAATGTCTGAAAGTTAAGGAGTTTTGTGTCAGTTACTTTAAGATACCCGTCATCTATGATTTTTAAAAAAGGATCTTTTCCTCTAAGTCCTACTTTAATTTTCGTATGTCATTTTTGCAATATCTATTTTTATTATCCTTACAAATACTCCTTGCTTCTTTAGCCAGTGTTACAGATATGTCTTCGAAATTCTTACTGAAAATCTGTGACTTTTTTCTTTTCTGCTGTAAGTTAGTTAGATAGCTATACTTACTTCATAATCACTTGGCAAAAAAAAAATAAATATGCTTATTATAGAATTGGAGCCTCCTTGGAAAATGTGGCTGAACAAAATGGATTGGCAGAGGAATTGATTCCTTGATTCTAAAAGTGGTAGGTGCAGGAATCCAGACATTCTGCCTGACTGGATTAATTAGTGTAGTGTAATTTTATTCCTTTTATTTTGTGAGCATTTCATGAGCACATCCAACACAGGCTGTTGGAAACTATGTGCAACCTATGGTCTTACCATACTGACCTTATTTACTAAAATTTTTTTTTGTTTGTTTTATTTTATAGCCATAGCTTTTGGAGGTCTATAGGAAAACAGGTTCCTTTCTGTCGAGGTCCACATTACGTGATGTTTAACCAAGATGTACATATTAACGATGCTAATAATCTAGAATAAGCGTTTTCCAATTTCTGTATTCTCAATTCATAATTTATCAAAATTCTGGTATACTTTATTTTTTTTCCTTAATTCAAAGGAAGTCTTTCTGAAACATTCCCCTGTTCTTTTTAAGCTGTGCTCTCTAGTTAGTTGCCTTGGCAATTGCATCCTGCCTGTCCCTCTTGTTAGTCCAATAGCTGATAGCCCATGCTGAATTGGGAGTGTTTGTAAATGAAAAGGAAACACTGCAACTCTGTTAGGAGGAGTAAAGTCCTGTGGGAGTCTGCCAAATGGGGCAGGACATGCCTGACTCCAGCAGAAAGAGCTGGACTCACTGGAAGTTGGTACTTTCTTATCTGACCCAAGTGATTCAGAGGAGCTCCAGGGGTTATTGCCTTCATTTCTCACACAGAAGATCAATGTTCATGCACAGAGCTGGCAAAGAGCAGTAGCACAGGCATGGCTCTAGGTCTAATCCCATGTCCAGCATCACCAAAGAGTCAAAACTCTTTGCTGTGTTGTTAATGATTTTCCAAGGGAGCTCTTTGCAGCTTCTCCAGCGCAGAGGAAGTGATTAAATTGAAGTGAAGCTTTTGAAAGTACTTGTCATGAGGATATTAAAAGGAGATGGTCCCTTTTATTCTCACAGGCTCTGAGTAAAAAGTATTGACAAAGATTTTAACTTCATATATTTAGAGATGATACAAATTAGGCACGGATTGGAATGAAATCTGAGTCTGAACAGTAAAGACTGACAAAACTGAAGTGCCATGTGAGGAATGATGGGAAGAGGGAAGATTATCTAAAGACGTAGAAAAAAATGAGTTCTTAGATTCTTGTAACTTTATAGCAAGAAGACTGTCATTGTAGTTGAAAGGGCAGCTAAAAAAATGTTATTATAAGAGCCTGTTTAGTGTCTTTACCTTCTGTGCAAAACTATATCTATAGATGTAAAAAGTGGTACCCAGAGTTCCTCTCAATATAAAACTGTGGCATCCATGTTACTGACTCTCGAACCAGATTCTGATTTTTGTGGGGTCTAAGGGCTAGTAGTGTTGGTGGGACAAGGTTTAATATGACTAGTAACCAAGCTTGATCCAAAAATGGGAGTTTGAGGGCATATGAAGGTGTAAGAATGGGCTTAGGTTTCACTTAGGTAATTTTTCAGATTTCAACAGTGTTGTAGAAGCTGATGGAGGAAAAGAACTGTTACTGGAGGTGGCCTGTGGCTCTCTTAGCGTCCAAGGTAGAACAGATAGGTTTAGTCATCAATTTTTAATTGAGAATTGAGATGCAGTGTGCCAGGATCTCTTAATAATCTGCAGACATTTAAGCAAACACATTTTATGTTGCCATGGCATTGCAGTTGGACTGCAGTTGCTAGCATACCCTACATGTTTAATAATGCATCCCACTTAAGCAGCTGGGGTTCAGAGTCGGTATTTCCCTTGCTGTTTTGTTCTGAAAGTAGTTATTGAAAACTTTGGTTATGATGTTGGTGCTTGGTCGTTTTTCATGTCAGGTAGAACAGATTTGAAAAATGCAGCTTTACTCTCCTCCCCAAAAAATAAAAAAAGCCCTACTAATGGAAATTGTGCCATTTGTTTCAGGTGTCCTTTTGCATGTTATGGGAGATGCCCTTGGATCTGTGGTGGTGGTAGTTGCTGCTACAATCTTCCATGTACTTCCTCTGGGAAATGCTCCATGTAATTGGCAGTGCTACATCGATCCAAGCCTGACAATAATTATGGTGTTCATCATCTTGTCTTCTGCATTCCCGCTTATCAAGGAGACCTCAATTATTTTGTTGCAGATGGTTCCCAAAGGTGTTAACATGCAACTACTGAGTAAGTCAAGTTTGTTGTTGAAATGCTATTACTTTTAATGATATATTTCAATGCATATGTTATTTCTGGAATGACATGTCTGGATTATTTACTCATAATAGCTCTAAATGCTCAAGAACCGTGAGAAATAGTCACATGCCTGTGTCCTAGCAACATGACTCAAATCTCTCTGGATTAGTTAAAGCATGCATTTTGAGAATGTGGTACTCCAACAATACATCAAAAATACCAGGTCTTGAGCTGTTAATGCTTTGTGTGGGGTGTTTGTGAAAGAAACAACATTGAATGACAGTATTTCTCAAGCTTGCAGTGGCTTTTTCCAAAAGGCTCCCAAAATGGTTTAGAAATTTCTGTTAAGGCTGGTTAATTTTGTAGCTCTCTGGCGTTGTTCACACTGTTTAATTGTGGGGTAGCACTACTTATTTCTGGAATTCCACCACGCTCATGGCTTAAACCAGAAGATGTGGGGTTTTGGCCAGGGAAGTGGTGCTCTAATGCTACTTCAGTGAATGGCTGGTAACTTGCCATTAGGGAGCCCGAGGGACAGGGTGAACCCAAAAGGAAGGGTGGCTTGCTCATGTGGTCACCTGGAGGCTGGACCAAAGGCAGCTGTGAGTAGATGTATTTTACTAAGTATAGCTCTTTTAAAAAGGTAATTTGATGACTGCTGCTTTTGGGTAAGGCTCTTAATGGGAAAGCTGGTAATCACCCAATACACCAAAGCCTCTAATGTCTTTCTCTTATGTCTTCCAGCTGACAGACTAGCTCGCATACCAGGGGTTAGCAGCCTTCATGAGGTGCATGTCTGGGAGCTTGCAGGTGGGAAGAATATTGCTACTCTTCATATCAAGTGCCAAAACCCTACTGATTACCAGGATGCTGCTTATAAAATACGGAAAGTTTTCCACGAAGCAGGGATCCATTCTGTGACCATTCAGCCTGAGTACATTGACCACAAGACCTCCCAGCTACTGTGCAGCTCTCCCTGCATCTCAAAAGCTTGTGACTCTCAGCTGTGCTGCAGCCAGCGGGAGCCCCCCCTGGCTAAAACTAATGGCTACACTGAGAAAAACGATAGTGGCCTTTCTGCACTGCATAAAGACAATGGTTCAAGTAAAAATGACATTGAAATCCCTATTGAGTACCCAGTGGCAGAAGATAGCATTAAAAATGTGAAAAATTGTGGCATGGCTGATGACAAATCACAGTTGAGCAGTACACGACTTTAGGCAGTTCCCTCTATTCTGCTGTGTTTTCATAGAACAAATGTATCTTGGCCGGGAAGGGGGTCATTGGTGGTTGTAGCTGAAGTTGACCTGGCAAAAGGATTTCTGTGCTTTAGCTGTAAACCAAAATACACCTAAAACCCCCTTGTATCTGAAGTAAGGATTAATATTTCCATGAAGGGTGTTGCATTCATCTAAGACTTTTCTGGTACAGTCTAACTCAGTTCCTTACCAAACTGCGTGTGAGTTTCTGTTAGAGTGGGTGAGGTGTGTTACTGTCTGCACTGATGCTTGCAGTTCATGGCCAGTGGGACTGGGAGTGAAACTCTGGCCTTTTCTGCTGAAGTGAACCGTTTCCTGAAAGCCCTGTGGCCAATTGATTGTACTGGGCTGAAGTACTGTATATTTATAAAGGACTTCAGTAGGGGTGCTTTACTGATCCTTAAAACCCATTTTTGCATAGACAGTTCATGTTTAACAGTAATGCATGTGCTTCTGGCCAGTGGGGTTTGTGAATGAAATTAAGAGTGTCTAAAGAGGAGGGGAAGCACTCGGGAATTTTGACTTGCGTTGTTTTTTTGATTGACTCCTGTATTTAGGGACAGAGCGGAAGTGGTCTTGCTTCTCCACTTGTAATACTGGAGTCTTAGCCTAATCACAGATAAGTATGGTAAAGAATAGACTTCTTGTCATGAAAGCAAAAAAATCCTTACTAACATTGTCTGTACTGTTTTTAGCAACTGGAAATGGAGGCAGTAATCCAATTAACTTTTATCTTGTTTGCTGTTTTGATTGTACAACTCAGTCTCTTTTTTTTTTTCTCCTGACAACAGAAGTTGTAATAGCCACAGTCTTAATTCATCATTGTGTGGGATGATTGCAGTATCTTTAACACTGAGTGTCTGTCATTATTCATGCTGAATAAATAAGTAAATGTGTTTATTATGAACAGTTAAAATTCTATAATTCTATTATTAAGACACGATTTATTATTGTATTAATTATGAAAGTCCCTTCAAAGTTTTATACACAGTGTTATCACTTAGAGGGAGCTTTAAAAATACAGGGGGTTTTTCCTGGTTTAGTCTCTATTTCTTACTGATTTAGTTTAAAGGTCTAAGTCTTCCCTTCTGCTTTGCCCCTCCTCCCCTTGCCCAAAGGTGTATTTCTAAGTGTATTTAGGGAAGCAGTTCCTTTATCTCTTTGCTGCTTGCCATTTTTTGAGGCATGCAAGGGTGCTCAAAGGAAAACAAGATGATGTGCCTGTCACCAGTGCTGGATTTAGGTCAGGTCTGTTCTCCAGGTTTCTTGGAGAGGAGACCCACTACCTGATCCATGCTGAGTGTAGTGCTTAGCCTCACTGGCTACATATATCAAATTTAGAAGCTTTCACAGAATCACAGAATCACAGAACGTTAGGGATTGGAAGGGACCTCAAAAGATCATCTAGTCCAATCCCCCTGCCGGAGCAGGAACACCTAGATGAGGTTGCATTTTACTGTCAAAAGCAGCCTTTCAAATGGTCTGTGTGGCCTGGGCAGGCTATTATATTCATTTATTCCTGGGGACACCGGTGTAAAATAGTGGTGTCTTTACCACAGCGACACTTTAGTAGGAAGGGCAAATTGATTTCCTGCCTGGGCTGGGGAAATACCAGGACCTCCTTGTAAGGCCAGCTTGAAAGCAGTCAACTCATTAATAAGGATAATTACATTAAGTAAATGAAAATTAAAACACACAGCAGGATATTTTGCTTCTTGGAAAATGGTATTTACTGAAACAGTGATTGCAGTCTACGTAGCACGTTTCTGGATTTGTAGTTACCACTTTTGAACAGATTCTTGGGTGAATTAATATATTTTATGGCCTTGTAGTTTTTATTGCATATATTAAACTATATGTTAGTATCATTAAAAGCTTGATCCTCCAATCTGTTTGATTCTGTTGGTGGCAGCAGAGGTGAAAGCAGCAGGGTTTTCCTTGGCGTTGTTGCATGCAATAATGTAAATTGGGAAACATTTTAAGAATTGTTCTGTCTTCTGATAGTGTGTGGCATAAAGTGAGACAGCCCTTTCTTCTGTTCTTTTTGTCCTTCTTTTAATCTGTGGTGATGTTTGATTGTTGGGTTTTAGATGTAAATAACAAATATATTTGTAGATTTTTTGAAAACTGGAATAGAAGGCTCCCAAAATAACAACAAAGTCTTTTGGAGAACTTGCCTCCCAGATATCCTCTAAAACAAGCACCCTTTCATGATTATGCATTTGTGTCTTAAATCAGGTAATCTTTTAATGTACACATCTTATTAAATGGTTGAAAAACGGAATTGGCGGTATTGCTTGCTCTGGAGTTAGAAAAAACTAGCATGTGTAGCATTGGGGCATTTGACAGAATGCACCACCTTTTTCTTTATCCTTCCAGTGTTTGTTAAAGCTGTGGTTATCTATTTTTTAAGTTTTTAGAAATGCTGTAGCCTGAAAATACAATGAAGTAACATTGTTAAACTTTTTTTTATTATCTGGTTGAATGTACTGTAGTTGTTGCCTGTGAATAAGTGGGAAAATACCAGGGATTATAGAAATCTTCAGGTCTAGAAAACAGCTATATTATTGACGAGGTGAACCTTGCATTTTCTGTGTAGGGACTTTCAGGGTATCCAGCTAAGGCTTCTGACCCAGTATCCTTGCCTTCCTATGAGTCCTGGTACAACACATTTTTCTCCTCTGTTTAAAGTGAGTCACAACTAGGACTTACTGATGGCTCCTCTCTACTTCTGTAGAAGACTTCATTCCAGTCAGTGTGTGTTTTGTGTTGGCTTATTTACCTTCAGTTCTTGACATATCTCTTCTCATTCTCTTGCAAGTATGCTTACCTCATTTTGAAATACATTATATTTCAGTATTTGCCCTTATCTATGAGCACTTGTTCTAAATTCAGTTTTGTAGTGTACCTTGTTGTCTTCAATTACTCCCTTCTGATTGCACCATTATCGCATTCAGGTTCTCTTGCAGTGGCTGCCCCTATTTGTTCATTGCTGTCTGTAGCAAAGAAAATCTGGTTAAGACAAAAGAGATTTTCAGTTTTCCAGCTTACATGGGCCTCTGATCCATAACCAGTCATACACGTGGCCTAGCTGTATCACAGCAAAACATTTGCTAGCCTTGGCAGATAATTTATTCCAGATTTCACTTGGTTTAGAACTAAGATGGCATTGAATGCAAAAGGAACTTACTGGCCTTAATCAGTTGTGGGCCTTTTCTTAAAGTGAATCCAATTTTTAAATTTTTTGCTGCCTTTTCATATGTGCCAAATGTGCCAGTTTTATTGATAACGTTTCCTTCTCCTGTAACTTTCTAAATGGAGATCTTGCTTTTGCAATTCTATGTAAAGAAAAATAACTGATGCTGCTTTTGGGAGTATTGCCTTTGTTTTACCAAGTTTTCAGTTGACTTTCTTTTCCTTGTGCTCTTTGAGATACTTACTTGAACTTCTAGTGCAAGTGGTTTTTTCCCTTAATATTTTCCCTATTCTTTGTCTCTTCAATAAAAGCAGTATGGGTTTGCTAGCCTTCTGGTCATGGTGATGTACCTGTAATACAGTTTAGAAATACCTCTTTGATATACTGGTTTAATTTTTGCACTCCATTTTATTAAAATTCACCTGCTTTCTATTTATGCATTGTGATACATTTTGCTATTGCAAACCACTTTCTGACCTCATTTAGTTCTTCCTGGTCTTTCCCCCTCCCCTTTGTGAGTATAATGCTTGCCATCCTGAGTGCTCCCTTTTATTCTGAACTTTGAAGGGAATGTGCCAGTGTCCATATTTTTCCAAAGTGAAGTTCACCACCCAAGGTCTATGGATGGCTTGATGTGAGGTACTTCAAGGCGTGTTTTATGTCCTGTGATCTGTGGTGAAGTGTTGTCTAAGTAGACATCCTGAGATGTAAATATACACACTTACATATATTTAAATTCTTTATGAACACTCCACCTGAACCACCTTCTTAAACAAAGTTGGTTTCTAAACCTGAGAAGTTATAATGAAATCAGTAGAGTTCATTAGTCATTCATTAACACCTTAGGGGAAAGCTTGCATCACTAACTGGAAAGCAGGTAAAAGGGAAGTTTCTGAAAAGATAATCCAAAAGCTGTGAAGATTTCTATAGGTTCTATTACTTACTCTGCTGTACAGTGGAAGCACTTTCTATGTTAAGTACTTTATTTGAACAGTGATACCTTGATAAGAGGATGTCACTGTATAAGATTGTTACATTTATGGAGTTGTGTTGCTTAAAAGTTTCTTGCAGTTATTCTGTTCATTATGTGATATAAATAATGTGCCAAAATCTAATTTTCATGATTGCTGAATCAATGAATTGTAAATCTCACTGTTGTTTTATTAACTATTAGTGAAAAATTACTTAAAATTTTATGTACAGTTATATTTTTTTCAAAATGAAAATTCAATGTCTTGTAAATAAAGTGTATTTTTAAATAAACCAGATGTTTTGAGCTTGATGTCTGTTAGCAATAGAAAGCTTGTGTCAGTTTAGGTAATTTTAAGACCTTTAACCTGTGAGCTTGTTAATGCTGCAAATTTTGTTACATATTTGGAAGTAAAGGGGACAGACACTCAAAACCTTTTCCTCTGCAAGCAGCCTAGTGTTTCCTAACCTGGGAGTGAATTTAGAGCCCATAACTCTGGGGTACCAGACAAGGATCCTGTCTGCAACCAGATGGGCTTTTCGCAGAATGCAGTTGCTTTGTCGCTGCTTGGTTCTGCCTGCTCATTTGGTGTTTAACTTCTATGCAGCAGCTCTCCTGCCTTCTCTGTCTTCAGATACGCATCTCTGTTTGTGTGAGAATGTTGCTGTGTGGAGAAAGTTGACTCTATGTGTGCGACATCAGGCTCAGGAGAGCGTTGAGAGTCTCTGTTCTGGGTTTCATGACCTGAATGTGCGTGTTAGAAATGAGATGAGGCCTAACACTACAAGTTTAGGT